TAAGCCATGCTTGATGTACAAAAGAAGTTTTCACATAATGTTGTCTAAATACACACATAGGGGGTGGGGTAGGGTATTTTTTGGAAATTTTTTTCATGATGGACCCCGCATCATGAGATTATTCTGGCAACATTCTGTAAAAAGTTATTATGTACATATAGATTAATCCTTCAATTATATATTTTGAAGTTGCAAAATTTGATGTAACAATCAACATAGTACCAAAGTATCTCCAATGAAGAATAATAATTCTAGTACAAGTAGACGATAATGTCCTTTCAGAAGTTAAAAACAACCAATAGTTTCAACTTTCAAATTAGTCACATCTTCACTCTCCCATTTTTTTTCTTATCATTAGCATGTCTTTATCAATGAATTACGTTGGAAGATTCTTAGAACAGTCACCTTATAAAACAAATCTACATCTCATTACAGTCAATATCCTTTAGCAGATAATGCATTAAAAAAAATTATTTTGCCATTCAGTTTCCAGTTAATCCTAATCATCATGAAGAAATCACCACACAACCACTGGAAATGAAAGAAAAAGTTAAAAACAAAGTCGAGGGTTTAAATCGATTACATGCATATATCTATTACATATATATTCTTGATAATCCATTTAGTTCCTTACCCTTGTGTATTAAAACAGCATACGTACATATACAATGAGTGTCCAACAATCATGTACACGAATAATAGAAATATATCAGTAGGCTTCATATTTGCCGCTTGGCTCATCTCCTGAGGTTCGTGTAGAAAGGGAGGGTCTCATGGTAACAATAGCAGACTCGTTTGCTCCAGCCATCAAAGCTGTCCTTCCAGCTTCCAAGAACCTTTCAACCGCATCCTCGGCATAGCGATTGGCCTCCCTCACTGTCATCATTTTCCCGATATGAGGATAGGAGTTGAGGACATGGTCACCATTGAGCTGTGATGCAAGTTGAATCAGTTCAATTTGAAATTCGCTTAGTTTCTCATCTTCCTTTGGTCCCCCTAGCCTTAATGATGTCTTAACCTCCGGGAGCTTCTCTGATCAGCAATCCAAATTTCACTCTTAATCATAATCCTCATGGTCATTTTATTCGGGAATTATACATGTTACTTGTAGATATAAACATGCAATATATAACAAGGAACTCAAGTCTTGCTTAGTAAACAAAAATATGAAAATCAAATGGGTCCTTGATCAATCCCTTGGTGGAGTAGGGTTTCCTATAGCAACAATGTTTTACCCGTGGCTTTAAAAATTTCAATAAACGAGAAAGAGACAATAGTAAGTGCTCTTTGCAGATACCATTTTTTTCTTTGATAAAACAAAAGATATCAGCTTCCCTCAAGCCCCTCCCACACTTCACCTCCCTATCGGTTTCTTACCCTATTTCTCCAGCATTTCTCACATTAACCAATTCCATTCAAGGATTTGTTCAGTGAAAGATTTGATATTTGAAATAATCTAACCGGTTAAATTTGTTAGTTGGTGATTAATCGAGTCGTATGAATTTAGATGCATAAAAGGCTACAAAAGCCTTTGTTGGGTTTGGCTCAACCAACTGCAGTAAAAATATGTTATCAACAAAAGGAGATAATTCTTGAAAATTTTCCATAAGGCTAGGAAACAATTATATCTTCAGCACATTTTCCATTTTTCAAAAGCCTTCAAACAGTACAAATTTATTGATGGGTTCAACTCAAGACATTGACTGCTCAAAGGTTTCATAATAAAGATCAATTCGCCTTTCATTTGTAATCTGAGATCAGTTATGCAGTTAAAAACTAAATGCAAACCCCTAAAGAACTGCCGAGACATGCATGCTTATTATTTCTTAATTTGTCTCCTCAATGATGAAAAAATGTCATCTAACAGCTCAAGTCATTAGAGATGTGAGATATTCATTTATCTATATTTTATATCTTCAGCACATCTTACGAGGAGATCATATTCATCCTTTTCATCAATGGCACTAAGACTTGAACCTAGTTATTTATCTGCTCTAATACTACATTGAAACCACCTGTCTAAAATACTAAACTATTACAAGGAAAAGGAAATTACTTATCAAGTTTATATCTTCAACAACATACTCATTATTGAAAATAAACCAACTAAAGAAATTAAAATTTTGATACCTCAATAACGCATGATATTTAACAATCTTAAAGCATGATTGTGCCAGAATACACTTGTGTAGTCTGGATAACAGAAACTATATAAATCACCATCTACGGCAAAGCATGGAACATTTGAAAAGCATTAGAAATGTAGAAGCAAACCTGGACAGTCATCACGTGGAGTATCACGCAAGTTGAAGTACTTCTCAAAGGTACCGGCCCATGCATCTCTTTTAGTCAAGAAATTTGATTTAAGATTGAAAAGCTTCTTCACAGTTGCAGGTATTGAAGAGTGTTCATATTGAGAAGACGGAGTTGGTCCACTTGGTTCATGGATCACTGCAGAAGAAATATTATAAACCAGGACAAAACAATGAAATTACTTTCAAGAGGATTGAATTCTGGAATGAGCACCCAAAATTGCCATCTTTTTCCTTCCTCTTTGTGTTGAGATAATTTAAAGATCTCATTTTTTTTTCTGGTTATAACCTTGATTTTGTTTGTTTATTTCCATTTCAGTTTTCAGTTCAAGACTCTTCTATATCGATTTCAATTCAGCTAACCAAACACTACATTGATTCTACTGAAACCATAATAACCATATTTCAGCCGAACTCCATTATCTAAATAAGCACTTGAAGTAAAACAAAACTCACCAGTTCCCTTGTCAACCCAGGGAGAAATCAATAGAGTGGGTACGCGCACGCCAAGCCTCTCAAAGTTGAAATAGTAGGGAGGAGGTCCGATTATCCCGTCGGGGTTGGGAACCCCAGAAACCGGCGTGGGCACATGATCGTAAAACCCGCCATGCTCATCATAAGTGATCAAAAGAGCCATCTCCTTCCACTGTGGACTCGCCCTAAGCGTCTCATAAACCTCCTTCACAAACTTCTGTCCTCGTGCTACATCGTGCGATGGATGATCATCGTTTGCTGGGAATAGACTGATATCAAAGTACCGTTGCTCGATCACAACGTAGTTGGGGAGCTTCCCCCTCTTGGCGTGCGATTTGAATTTTAACGCATAACTATGGAATTTCAATATGTGCTTGAGCTTTCTCAAGCTTTTGAAGAAAAGAGTAGCAGGTATATTTTGATAATAAATCCCAAAAGTTAGATCATTTTCATCTAATGAGTCAAAAATAGTCTTTTGCGGAAATCCATGGATAAGATCTTTCCTAACGTTACTTGAGGCGCCGTGGGAGGTGGCGGAGTGGACGTAGAAACGGTTGGGCTGAGTCGAAGCAGGCACCGAGGCAAACCACCTATCCATGACTGCGAACTCGTTCACCAACTCAGTATAAACCGGTACCAGATCTGGTTTGAACCCACTCATAACGGTTTTGGACATTCCATCAACCCCCATAGCCTTTGCCTGCTGCACAAAACCGTTCATCGGCGCCGGGTTTGCCGACGTGTCCTTTGACCCAAATATCTGTTCCCGGATAGCTTGAATTGAGTGACCCGGGTCCGACGCAATAAAAAATGCGTCGTCTGAAACGTATACAGGAGTAGAGCCGGAGTCGGAGGCGTTGACCCGGTTGAATTCTGATCCGCTAAGACCATCGATATCTGGACGGCTGCTTTTCAACCATCCAAGCATGTGATCAAAGGAGCGATTTTCCATTACCAGTACTACAATCGTTTTGATGGGGCCATCAATTTTGTGCTTATGTCTCTTGGGGAAGTGAAAGGAGGAAGAATTAGACGGGAACAAAATGAGGAAGAGGAAAAGAAAAATAATTAAGTGCGATCGCCGGAAACCCATTTTCCGGTGATCCGCCGCCTGCTTGTGGGGGTTGAAGAGAGTGGGGTTTACGCGGTGGGTAACAGTGGCATATAACACTAAAATACGCCCCGGTATACAGCGTACAAGCAAATATAAAGACTCAAAATTTGGCATAATCCATTATTCTCCGAGGATATTTTTAACTATTTCCTTTGCACTGGACCACGGACTAAAGGCATTACGTGCACAATCGGCCTCCCCATAAAAACAATTATCATTTTTCTATTGTATTATATCTAAAAAATAGATGCGTGTACGCATGAGGATAAAGTTTGATACAAATATCTCGACGACGGATAAAATATATAATTGAAAATAGTGCTATACGTTACACATAACAAATCTTGTAAAGAAAAGTATAACACAATATGTACCTTTCACATACCGTGTAATAAAAAGTTTAATGAAAAGCAACGTAAAACCTAACAACATGTATAACGTGACATTTCACATTTTGTGAGAAATATGACAAAATAAAATTTACTATGTATTCATTTAATTTTGAAATTTCAAATTCGAAGATCTACTTCTTCTTTTTTTATTCAAAAATTAGTGTTTTTAACTATCAATTACTTATCTTGAACCCTAAAAAAAGTACCTCCTCACCACTAATACAACCATCATTTTTACACACACTCAATATCATCATTAATCGTCGCCGCCATTGTGACCACTCCCACAATATGAAACCATTTCCACTTGCCATCCATTTCTTGTATCAACTCTATCACTCCAACCTCCACCACCACTCATAACACCATCATGACCACTGCTCACATTTGCAAACACGTAGGCCCTCCTATTCTCATATAAAAGTGTTTGGCGAAAAAATTACCCCATCATCCAAGCCATTTTTTTGTACAATATTTTATGATTCAATCCTTTTAATACAATACTAGGGTAAAAGAAATGTAACTAACTAGTATAGTTAAGTTTTTTCATTAGAGATTGTCTTATCCTTGGTGATTTAATCCCTGAGTACAGGGATTAATTTCACAGAGACCTGCTAGGTCCCTTATTGTAGTAGGCAGGCCCCACATGCAATAAAAAAATTGCAGGGTGCTCCATTGTGTGTGTGTATCCTAGCAGGACTTGTGAAACAGGTCTCTGTACTTCAAGCAGGGCTAATCTTTAGTTTATCCACCAATTACAGCTCGAGGTTTTCTTTTCTTATGAGATTTGTATACATGTTGAATCTTTTATTATTATTATTATTTTTTTCCCTTTCTCTGGGATTGGTTTTTTTGTAGTGGGTGTGGGGCTGTGATTGGTATTAACGATTGGTTTTTTGTGGTGGGTGTGTGGATTTGATTATCATTAATGATGGCGATGTTGGAAAGTTCCGTTGGCTATGGTAGTAACGTGGGCAAAATAGGTAGCAAAATATGCATAAAATAGCTTGAACGTATCACGAAAAGTGTAACAAGTCACATTGCAAGAAGTGTGACACTTTTGCTTAAAAAGGTGGGAAAAAGTCCCCCCACCTATATGGTGCCCCTGGTAGTATGGGGCCCATGTGGCCCTCTACAACTAGCTGGTCGGTATAACAAAGTAATTTACAAATGCTTTTTTAAAGTAGGATAGTTGTGAAAGGGAAAATTACATAATTAGGTCACAAATAGAGGATCAGATTAAAAAGTCAAGTAAATACATAAGAATTTCTCAAAATAGGTATATCTTAAAATATGTTATTTTTGACAAATTATAGTATACGTAATTTAGTGTGTATAATGTTTTGACATGTATATGAGGGAGTTGAAGGTATCAACTTTTCAAGTAGTTTTGGTTGAGAACTTGGTGGCATAGGCAACGGTGATTCCTTGGAACCCATTGCATATATTGATAATTTACTAGAGACTAAAAAGTGTTGTTGGTATAAAGTCTGTGTGTGCGCTTGTATTGTACGATGTGTATTTGTATTGGGTGTTTCATGATTTTTTGGGAGTTT